GAAACCAGGAGTTTTTTGTTATAGAAATCCCAAACGGCACAACAATTCTCAAGGAGGAGGCCACGGTTTCAACAGCCAAGCACAGGAATCCAACAGGTAAGTCACGGTTTTCAGCAACCAAATAGCCACCACTTTTAATGAGAGAAAGGGGACCACGGGACAGAGAAACCGAAGCAATTCATGGGAGGAAAACCAGCAAAAAACCGCAGCAGCTCAAGAGGCAACAGGAAGAGGAAAAGGCAAGTTCCACTCACCCAAAAGCTTGCACACTTCAACTTTAATTTCAGAGCTAAACATCAGCTCATAATGAGCTACACCACTACTTGATAATAATGAGCTGGCACCACTAGAATTTCAACAATTAAAGATCAAACCGAAAACAGTCAAGGCCCACCCGGAATCAGAAAATAGCCCCAAAGGACAAGTTGGACCCCAAAACCGGCAAACCCAAGGCAAGCATAAACCAAACCTTTTCCTACCATGATCATTGGATTTACCACCATCATTGGATAGCATAAAAATAAAACAAAAATAGAAAATATAACTAATATTGTTCAAAACAAAAATAATGCAAAAATCTAAATGCATCATTACATATGAGTTATCATAATCATTATAAAAAAAAGATCAAGAGATAGAAAATGCAATGAAATTAGTGAAAATATATAAACAGCAACTACATATTGTAAGGAAAAATGGATGGAGTGATTGCAAGAGGAAGTGTCACATTTTTGTAGTGTATTCAAAGTTAAAGTTATAAATATAAATGATACATACAAAACTCTTCGTCGATCAATGCGAAAAGGAGAAAAATATCAAACTTACATCATTATCATGTTGAGTTATTATATATTGTGGTTTACATGTAACTTCAAGAGCTAAATAATCATTTTTCTGAATCTAGTATTGAGTTACTTCTTTTATGACATGCTTAAACTCAATTGATTCCTTCAATGCTTACGATGAGAGGAAATTGACACATCTAGCAGAATTATATCCAAGTGATTTTTCTATCATTGACCTTATGACTCTTAAAAATTAATTATGAACTTATATCATTGATATGCATACCGATGATGAGCTCTCCTCTCTAAACATTATTGTGATCATGTAAAGCAAATTGTTAAAGTAAAAAAGGATCGTGTGTATCCTCTGGTTTACAGACTTATTACTTTAGCATTAACTTTAACATTTTCTACTGCTACAGTCGAAAGAGCATTTTCTGCAATGATGGTTATCAAACATCGATTGTGTAGTAGGATGAGTGATGATTGACTCAATGATTGTCTAGTACCTTACATTGAAAAAGATGTGTTCGATTTGATTCCTAACGAGGTTATAATGCAATATTATCAAAAAATACAAAATAGATTAACGAGCTTGTAATAATTTTCAATATATCTATTATAATGAAATATAAGATTTTGCTTTGAATTATGTCTTCATTTTCTTTTATTTTTTTAAATTTGTCCATTTATATGAAATTTTTCCTCCTTAAAACGAAAGGCTGGTTTCATCCCTGGATATATAAATATATATAAGCACCCCCTACACAACACCTCTAGCATGTGTATTGTACATGTATAGATGCCTAAGCCTTAATATAACCAATTACAAAGTGATGAAATAATTAATATCTAGGTCTATGATGTATCTTTGATTATGCAATGTTGTAATAGCTTAAATTTATGATATGATATATGTCGTGATCTGAATGTGATTATACTAACCTTTGTTTTGCAGCAAATAAGGATATCAAGTCTCTGAGGATGAGTAATTATAAAATATTTATTATCTTTTCTTACTATATATATATATATAACTACTCTAGAATGACATGAGTATTGTGTAATAATGAGTTATGAGTGGGAACATAATGTTAAATTTTTTACTTTGAATTTACTCTACTAAAATTAACCCAATTTTTAAAGAAAATTGCATAACCATACTCTTGGTCTTTTTTTTTTTAAATCAAATGATACCTTATCTTCGTCTTAGTGGAGTAATTATAGCTACTTATAATCCTAGACATAGATGTGCGACCTATGTGCAGAGCCTAAGTTGATCCATTTCATATCTCAGCCTAATAAAAATGCAAATAATTAAGCTTCATATTAATGAAAATAGCTAATTAAAATCATTATATCATGATCCTAGTCACCAAGTGATGCCATGGAAGCCATAAGAATCGATCTTTGTATTAGTACGCCGAGATGGGTTTAGACCCTTTCATGACCTATGTAGGATATAAGACTATCTACAGCTTCTTGATCTTGCATGGTCACAATGGTAAGCCCAGCCCATGATATGTACCTTCCCAAGCATATATAGGTACAATCCCATATAAACCCATTTGGCCCCAAAGTCTACAATTCGTTCCCAGTTCAAACATGTATGTCAGTAAGTATTATGAGTCTAATCTGTGGCTCCCTCAAATGGTTATGGAGTGCAAGTCCTTTGATGCCCATCAAGGTAGATGCTTTTTGTGAGTATCATAAGTCCATTTTAAACATCTCCGTCCATAGGTTATGGAGTATAAGTCCCCAAACTTATCATATGTCAGGGCAGATCCCTTATGGTGTCAAGAGTCCAATCCAATCATCTCCCTCCAATGATAATTGAATTGTAAGACCCCAATAATTTAGCTTAAGATCTACATCGTTGGGCAGGTATACTTAATGATCTCAGGAATCCAATCCTAATATCACCCTTCAAAGATTGTATAGTTGTAAGACCCCAATAACTCATTTTCTGTCATTTGCGTCTAATATTCCTTGATTTTTGAGTATAATCTATCAATCTTCATCTCATTTTGACCACATTTTCATAGTCACCTATTTGTCATTTTGATCTATCATTAAACCAAATATTACTTGAAACTCATATTATATATCCTACCTATCCTATAATGTTGAACGCAAGCAAAGCTAATTAATCGAGTGTTTTCTCATGTATCGTAAATAGGATATAATTAACACTAAGAGATTCCTCCTATAGGAAACCTCAACTCTCATAATTAAAATAAACATTATTTATCTTGGATCATATCTTCAATATGCCTTCCAAAGATTCTCATGTGTCTACCATCCAAAGGACCAACACGGACACGGCTACACGGACACACAACACGACACGGACACGGGACATGGCATTTTTTAAAAATATAGGACACGGGTGCGGCGTGAACACGTCATTATATATTTTTTAATATAATATATAAAAATTAAGGTGACATCATATTATAAATGGCAAGCAATAATAAATCAATGTCATGATAAATTGTTTAGCATATAACATAAAAATGTTTAGTACAAATATTTTTCGGGACATGCATGTTAAAAACCTTCTCTAAAGCACTATTGGCAATTCATTTTCTTTTCTTTAAATCATATCCTTCACTTCTATATGATAATGAATGATCAACTCTAATAGATGAGGAAGAAGTATGGGATGAACCATGAGTAAATAGCAAAGGTATCTCTTTAGGAAGTGCCCTTTTGATCCTAGATTCAGCTTCATCAACTTGTCTGTTCAATTCAATCAACTGTGACATAGTAATCTTATGACACATTTTAATTGCATGGTCAGAAACCTTAAGTAGATAAGTAGATATGCTTTCACCCTAGAATAAGATCCTTTGTAGGTGCCACCACAATAATTCACATTCACTCATCCTTCAAAAGCTTTTCCTAACTTTGTAACATGAATCCATAATTGCTTATCAATTTCTACAGATGGCTCTTTTGAACCACTCCCACCAACACTAGAGCTCATTTTGCTTTTAAATTCACTGGTGAAGTAGAAGAAATAAATGCTTAATAAATTGAGTGACATATTTACAATTAAAAATTGCCAAACAAAGTTAAAAAATAATTAACTATTGCATCATGTGTTATGACTATCAGACTAAAAAATAATTAAAAATTTGCAGCTATGCCGGGGATCCAAGGGGGCGCTGCCCCCTAGCGGGGAACAAATTTTTATTGTAAGAGTGAAAGCGCAGTGAAATCGCAACAAAAGCACAGTGAAAGCGCAGCAAAAGCGTAGTGAAAGCGCATTAAATAAACAAATTTTTATTGTAAGAGTAATTTTAATCCAAAACAAATAAAATAATTTTAAAAAAATATGCTCTTCTGATCACAAATCTACGGAATCATTGATCAATGAAGAGAAATGGCGAATGGAGAAAAAAATGGTGAAATCAACTTACAGGTTTGCAAAATTTTCTGCGGTTTGGCGTCGGCTTCCCTCGGCTACGCGCAGAAACTAAGGAGGATGGCTTGTTGCTTACGGCTGGAAGGGAAGACCAAAGGTGCGATCTCCAGCCGACCGCTGCTCACAAGAAAGATCTCCAGCCGGTCGATGCTCGCCTCAATCGCTCGGGAAGACCACGAATACGAATAGGAATACGGGATTAAGGCGAAGATGAAGACTCGGGCGTGAACCGGCTAATATGAAATAGCGGGATTAGGGTTTTGTTTTATTTATTTAATTATACAATAGCCGGACACGCATGTTCGACACTTGTGTCCGGTTTATTTTTTTTTTTAATGGGACACACTAATGACGTGTCTGATACGTGTCCTCGCCGTGTCGGACGCGTGTCCGTGTCGGACACGTGTCCAACACTACATACCCTCTTAAAACGAAGTGTCGGTGCATCAGAGCTACCATCCTTCAAGGTAGTACTTCAATTTTTATTTCTCTTTCTCATCGTGAGGTGTCTTTAGACATCAACACCTATGAAATGGACATAAATGAAATTTGTGAAAAAGGGGTAGGTCAAACTAGTGGTTTTTTTTCATCCCGCAAAAGCCAATAAAAAATGAAGAGAAGCACAAAACTGATTTCTAAGGGAGTACAGTATAACTAACTTTGAGAGTTGAATGGAATGATCATCACCTGAAAGTGCTAGAAGCATTAACTAATTTCTCTCATTACATTTATGACTTTGCATACAAGCAAAATAGATCAGTCCTGTGAAGTTCTAGAGTACCTGCCTTTGACATTGACGTCAAAATATCAGCCAAGAAGAAGTCAGCAAAAGATATTGCCTGCATGACAAAGGTAGAAACAATAGGATTACAATCATAAAAAGAACGTGACCAAAAACAAATAATAGTTTTATGATCTAAATCAAACCTAACCTTAAGTCTTGCTTAGAATATAATTCATACAACCATTAAGCAAGTTCTAGAAATATTCTATCTTAGAATATGGGAAACCTTCCTAAGATGATAACAATAAACAGGCTCATCTCCATAAGTTTGGATGTTCGGTATGAGTACAGAAAAGATCAGAAGAAAAAAAATTCATTGAAAGAATTCACTATAGGATTATAGAAAATAATGTGGCCGCAAAAGCTGACAATATTTTAGATCTGAATCAAAATCTATTTTTTAAGTACTTCAAAAGTAATTTAAACAACAATAATCTACCATCCAAACATACAAAATTATCTCATACATGGTATTGATTAACAGGTAGATTTCCAAAATATGGTACATAAAATAGAAAGTAATCATGAAATTCAATCCTGTAGCGACCAACAACTTGGAAGATATCAAAATCATTTGTTTTACACTTTCTAAACTTAAACTTCAGAATTCAGAGATACTCTGTAGGATAAGAATAAAAAGAATCAGAGCCAAAACAGTCATTTGTATATATTCTATTATGATTTATGAAGTACAGGATCGGGTAACTAGATGACTTTAGGATTAGCAGATATACAGAAATTTATTAATACTAAAGACACTGATCATGCTTCTGGCTGCTCACGAATGATGACTTACAAGAGTCTACAAAGATATCTAGACGATGAGTATAACCATGGAGAACATCAAACACCAAGAAAAGCAATCGATAACAAGTTCTCATATTAATTTTAAATTATGAATCATAGAACTATAAATAAAGCTAATCATTTGACTGTAGAGAACAAGAAGAGCTAGTGCATAAAATTGCAGAAACTAAAGAATAAAATCTTAGCTGATAGCAAACTCAATAAGCAAGATGAAAAACTTACTTGTAACGGAAGAATGATACGCCATAATGTCCTTAAGAAGTAGAAACGAGAAGATAGGTAGAAAATGTCAAAAGGAAAGATGAGAACCATCACAAAAATAGCATATAGGATAACCTGCAATTTTCCAACTAAATTTTAGAAGGCGTCTCCAAAAACCATAAAAAAATTGAGGGTTCCAGGGAATAAAATAAGATCCAAATTCAAATTGACAATGATTGAAATCTTAACATGATAATCTCACAAAAGCATTTTTTAATTTTCTTCTGATTAAATAATCATACACTTAATACCAATATTAAATCAACAGCCAATAGATGACAATGATTCATAAATGTCCAATTGAAACTTAGAAATACAATATTCAGCATAAACTAGAACTTAGGGGTGTCAATTTTTGACACGACCCAAAACACGACCCGAACCCGACCCGGAAAAATCCGGGTTCGGGTAAACCCGAACCCGAAACGGGTCGGATTCGGGTTGAACAAATCAACCCGTTTTAAAAATCGGGTAGGGTTCAGGTTGACCCAGCAACCCGAAATTGACCAGAAAGTGACACGAAAACTCATATTTGACCCGAAAACCCGAGATTGACCTGTTTTTTACCCGATTTTGACCCGAAAATCGAATATTGACCCGATTTTGACCCGAAAATTAGCAATTTTAGCTCAAATTCGGGTCATTCGTGTCGGGTCGGGTTGACCCGGACCCGAATCGGGACGGGTTCGGGTCTGGAAACCTGACCCGTTTTTAAAAACGGGTCGGGTTCGGGTTGACCAGAACAGTGCCGGGTCAGTTCCGGGTTCGACCCGAACCCGACCTGCTGACCCGAATTGACAACCCTACTAGAACTCGTCTATAAACTATAAAGCTACAAACAAAGAAACCAAAATGATTCACCAATCTATGAGAAAAATCTTAGCATGGTACTCTTACTAGACCCATTTTGTACATTCTTATGGCTAATTAATTATTACATTGATATAATGTCAAGTCATCAGAATACAAATGACAATGATTCACAACCTCAACCCAGTATCCAACTGAAACTTGGAAATTCTGATTCAAAGTGAATTAAAATTTATCTATAAATTTCAAAACTACATACAAAGTAACCCACAATGTTAAAAGTGTAAGGAAGTGCACGCTCTAAGCGCAGGCAGAGCAAATCAGTTAGGTTGTACATTGCTCTGCAAAAAAACAAACTTACACTGCAAGAGCAATCAAAGAAAAGTGTGTTTTTTTGTCGCTTTGCAGAGTGCTGATCTGCAAAGAAGCAGGCGTAAACTGTGAGCGCAATCAAAGTGGAGAAGTGGGTGGTTTCTTCATCACTTCCAAAAAGCAATTTTTACTTATTCTGCTCCTCTTTCCCGATAGAAACAAAAATGAAAGGTTTAGCGATGGGTTAACATAATGTTATGCTAATCACCCAGCATGTATGCCCAATTGCTTACTAGTTACTAATGATACTCCCCGCTAGTGTTTGACTTAAAAATACCATATATCATTTCATAACTTTAATTTCTATGATTTTCGTAAATACTATAACATTGTATAATATTTATTATGATATTTGTACTTTAATTAACTTAAGAGTTTATCTTGTGCTTCACATATGAAAGCTAAAAAAGAAACTTCTGCACATCGCATTATGTTTTACAAGTTTAGTTTAGAATTTCACATGAGTGATAAAGATTGACCAAAACACTCGCTCAATGTGCAAATATCAATATGCTAATGAGCTATGATGCACAAACACGGATACGACATAACACGGACACGAGACACGTCAATTATTGAAAATTGGATACGGACACGGGTTGGACACGGCATTATAATTTTTTATATATTAAAATAATATATAAAAAATTGAATAAGTATAATCTTAAAAATAATTTAGAAATAATAATTCATTTAACTAGAATTTATGCTTTAAATGATAAATATTAGGATGTTGAGAGCCGGGCGTCGATGCCGTGTATCCAGCATCGAGAGAGGAGACAATTGCCGAGAGTCGAGCATTGATGTTATGCGGTAAGTATCGGGCATCGATGTCAAGAGGACGTTTGTCATCGATGTTGAGACGACGTTGGTCATCGATGTTAACACGATGTCGGACAAAGATGAGCTGTCAAGTTGTGGGCGTACAAATTACTAACGATGAGCATCAATGTCAAGACAGTGCCAGACTTTGATGTTGAGATGGTTTTGAAATGTCGATATTGCAACGACGACAATCGTCAATGTTGAAATGACATCGGACTTGTTGTGAAGCCAAAGTCGCAACCACCAAAGATAAATGAAAATGAAAATATTTGATGAATGTGGTATTGAGTGCGGGCAATTGATTTCGAGTTGTGGATAGGGAATAAGTAATTTAGTTTTATATTTTAAATAAATAAAAATTTTAATTACAATAAATTATATTTTTAAAAAAATCATAAAATATTTAAGACACGCATGTCGGATACACGTGTTTGACTTATACTTAATATTTTTTTAATCGGACACGTTTTTGGCGTGTCCGATACGTGTCGTAGACATATCAAACGCATGTAGCATCGGATATGTGTCAGACACTGCACGGCTCTTTGATGAGATGTGTCGGTGCATCATAGCTAATGAGGATTCCATGCAAATGACCTAGTGATGCGGGACGGACATAAAATAAAATAGAAAATCTAATAGAGAAGATAGAGAAGATGAAAAAGAGGAAAAGATTAAAACAACTAACAAGATAAGAAAATCTCACAAATGTTTGAGGAGATAACCTCCCTAGAAATTCTTCAAGTCTCACCATTGATCAAGGATCAAAATCCTAGAATAGAAGAAGAGTCTTCACACCCACAATAAGAATATTATTCATGTCACAAACTTTCTTACATTAGTTAAAATTCTCATATCTATAGATTAAAAAAATCAAGCTACAAAAAAAATTATTACAAAGTTCTAAAAAACTATTTTAAAAGAATAAATTATTAACTTAAAATTTGTAAAATATTAATAAATTGCTAACAAATTTAATGATATTGATTAAAATAATATTAATAAAATACTGAAATAAGTGAAATGCAAAATGAAACGAGAGATTTATGTCATGAAATATAAATATATAAATCTTCATTACTCCTTTTAATTACAACCATCTTTAAAGATTCAAGATTTGTATAAAAATTTTCAATAATCACTTTGCATGTCGCCACTTTTAAGTATGTATAAAAATTGTAGTGCATCTCCAATATTTGTCCATCCTTGAGGCAATTAATACACAACGTATGATAACAGAATCACGTCCAATGCCTCGATGTCACTAGCACCCTCGCAAGGGTCACAATTCACATGTTCTTTCCCTAGATCATTGAATTGATCAAGATCTAGATATTTAATGCGGACCCTACCAAGGGTTATATGCCAACATAATGGGCTATATTGCCAAATGTACAGCATATAATACTGGAAGCTTTAAAACTAGTGGTTTAACCGGCGCACTTTCCAATAGGATCGGCTGATTGGTGCACTTTCCAATAGGATCGGCTGATTTCATAGGAGCAAACAACAATTGTTCAACCAACTTATGCTACAGGCTACTTCCATAAGAGTTAGAGAGTCTCTTATGAGACTGAACCTACGTGTACAATGTAATATCTAGTGTGAAAAAAAAATCATCTTCAAAATTATAGATATCTCGCATGATATAGACAATGGTTCAACCATCCCCAACGGCATCAACCACATAGTCAGCAATAGATAGTAATCATTTTCGTAGAGTAGTCAACTCATCAAGGAGATGATCATGAAACATCAATGGAATGTATTTTGATTTTGAAGTTTCTTTCATCTCAATTCATAATCTGAGGGGTGGACAGCTCTGGCGATGGAGTTGTCACTCCACATTAAGCCAATAGGCCTTGACATACCAGTTAACTTCATGTAGGCAAATATCCTTAAGACATAGCCATCCAATCGAAGTTATAAGTGAGTAATTCATAAACACTTATAGGTCAATATGACCAACAAAAATAAGGGGTTCCACCATGACTTCTCAAATAATATCATCATCAAAAGGGTGACCACAAAAAAATCATATTGAACTTTAGGTTTTCAACCAGTCGAGGTGGATGATATGGAATACATCTAGATCAAAACAATCATAATCACTATGCAAATTTTAGCTTAATATTCCCATGTCCTAAGAGGGGAGAAGCGAGAGGTGATGAGAGCCTGGATTTGGGAATTTTTATTGCGTCCTCCAACCTGACGTAGAGATACGTCCTCCCACCGCCAAAAACTCGGTTTTTGCTCGGTATTGCTAGGTATTATTTGATAATAACGAGGAATATCATCATGTGAAGACCAATACCGAGTTATACCGAGCAATACCGAGCAATACAAAAAAAATACCGAGTTCTTTCTAGGAAAAACTAGGTATTTTTTGTATTGCTCGATATTGTTCGGTATAGCTCGGTATAACTCGGTATTGGTCTTCACATGATGATATTCCTCGTTATTGTTTGGTATTGCTCGGTATTTGCTAGGTATTTCTCGTTTTTTAGCGCGAATTTAGCTCTGGGAGGACGTATCTCTACGTCAGGTGGGAGGACGCAATAAAAATTCTGGATTTGGAGGGTGAATTTCTTGACCATCCTCATTAGGTACAACCCAAGCCATATTTGGTAAAGTCAAGGCCTAGGAAGTATATTTTTAAGGGCAATAATGCAAATACCTAACTCACAATAGGTCATGCCTCTAGTTGATCTTGTAAGTGAATAAAGATGTTATCATCCTTCCAACATATTAAGTAATCTTGATATAAATGATCATTACAGTTTCTATCCCTAGCTAAGGGTTGCGGCTAAGGAGAAGTAGACCTAAGGTTGGACTCACAATAGTTAAAACTCAACAATAGACCTACAAGTGTAAGCTTGATAAGCTCAAGTCTTCGTGGTAAGTCAACACAAGCAAAAGGTCCTGGTTACTCAAAACTATTATGCATGAATTGTAATTTTTACAGATTTACATGTTTGTACATTTAAAATGATATGAAAAATTAAATTATTACCAAAACAAGTTCGACGAGTAAAGAACATAACAAAGTAGTAAAGCAGAAAATCACT